TTACCTTGTCTTGCGTTCCCGCGATGTCCCTCCTGCAGTGCCCCCGGCAATGTCCTCCGGCCGATGCCGGCATCCGTCTTCTGAGTTCCGTTCCCTGCGACGCCAGGACGTACGGGGACGGAACGGCGGAAAATTTAAAAATGTGAAAAAGTGACATTCACTAAATACACTAAAATCACATAGTAAAACATTACTGTATCAAAGCATTTCACATACATTTTGTCCCTAGTGCTTTGTTCTTTGCCCTGCCTGCATTTTTACCCTTCTTTCTGCCTGGAAACTGAGAAATGTCCATGGCATCCAAAAAGTGTCCCTTTAGGTCAAAAGTGGTTTTAGACCAGCTAGAGAACAGCGATAGTAAATTAGAACTACTTGCAGAATTGAGTGATAATGATTCGTGGGGAAATTCGTCATCAGACACTGAAAACGATTTTGCGACTTTGCTCAGTGATGTGCGAACTTTGCGCTATATTTCAAATTTCAGTGTTTTTGGTTTGATTATATAATAGAATTAAATGTATTATTATTATATTATTATTTTTTTTATGATTATTTATTAAATTATAATTTGTGATTTTGTGTTTCTAATTTTAACATACCCGGGATGTTTACTAGACTCTTGTTCGGACAGATTTCAGTGAGTTATTCCTAAAAATTACAGACCTACAATAGAAAAATACATATTTCCATGCAAAAAAATGTACCGCTTTGAGCACAGAAATACTGACATAATCAGACCGCTAGGGAGGATAATGACTGACATAGTACCACTGGATTGGCGTAAGGACAATTTGGTGCCTATATTTAAGAAGGGGGCAAAATCTTTACCAAGTCATTATAAACCTGTTAGTTTAACTTCTGTGGTTGGGACAATACTGGAGAGTTTAATAAAATACCACATAGATGAGTTCTTGCTGGAAAAAAATATTTTTAAGCAACAGACAGCATGGATTCATGAAAGACAGAAGTTGTCAAATCTGATTTCTTTTTATGAGGAGGTGAGGAAAACCTTGGACAGAGGGGTGGCAGTGGACGTGGTATACTTGGATTTTGCAAAAGCGTTTGACACAGTTCCCCACACACAGCTAATGTGTAAGGTAAAGTCTACGGGCTTGGAAAAATTAGTATGTAAATGGATAGAAAACTGGCTAAAAGATTATATTCAGAGAGTAGTGGTTAATGATTCATACTCTGTATGGTCTAGGGTTGTTATTGGTGTACCCAAAAGGTTCAGTGTTGGGACCCTTACTTTTTAATATATTTATATACCAAGCTGTGCAGTGGAATAACGTCCTTACTGGATATCTTCAACTTACAAGCCGACCTCAATGCACTGTTTAATTGGGAAACTACCGTATTTTTCGCTCCATAAGACGCACTTTTTTCCCCCAAAAAAAGGGGGGAAAATGTCAGTGCGTCTTATGGAACGAATATAAAGCGGCTGGTCCGGTATTTCTGCCGCCACCATGTCAGAATACCGGGCCGGCCGTTCAGCTGTTCTCTCCTGCAGGGCCTTACCTGTTCCTCGCTCCAGCGCTGCACAGTCTTCCCGTGCTGGCTTCTGTGACAGCCAGGTGCCCACTGCGCATGCGCTGCGCTTTGTGAATGGCCCAGTGTTTTCTGGGACACATGACAGGTCCCAGAAGGCGCCGGGCCATTCACAAAGCGCAGCTCTTCTCGTGCATGCGCAGTGGGCACCCGGCTGTCACAGAAGCCGGCGTGGGAAGAAGAGGGAAAGACAACTCCGCGGAAGTGGGAGCGGGTGCCTTTCAAATTCAGGTACTCGCTCCCCCTCCTTCCCCAAAGGTCAGCAGTCTCTGGTCATCCCCTGCACTGTCTGCAGTCTCTGGTCATTCCCTGCACTGTCTGCAGTCTCTGGTCATTCCCTGCACTGTCTGCAGTCTCTGGTCATCCCCTGCACTGTCTGCAGTCTCTGGTCATCCCCTGCACTGTCTGCAGTCTCCGGTCATCTGTACTGTGTCCCTGGTATTGTCCCTGTACTGTGTCCGCAGTCTCTGGTCATCTCCTGTACTGTGTCCGCACTCTTTGATCATCTCCTGTACTGTGCCCGCAGTCTCTGGTCATCTCCTGTACTGTGTCCGTAGTCTCTGGTCATCTCCTGTACTGTGTCCGCAGTCTCTGGTCATCTCCTGTACTGTGTCCGCAGTCTCTGGTCATCTCCTGTACTGTGTCCGCAGTCTCTGGTCATCTCCTGTACTATGTCCGCAGTCTCTGACTGTCTCCTCTAGTTTGTCTGAAGTCTCTGACCATCCCTGTACTGTGTCCGCAGTCTCTGGTCATCTCCTGTACGATGTCCGCAGTCTCTGGTCATCTCCTGTACTGTTTCCCCAGTCTCTGGTCATCCCCTGTACTATGTCTGCAGTCTCTGGTCATTTCCTGTAGTATGTCCGCAGTCTCTGGTCATCTCCTGTAGTATGTCCGCAGTCTCTGGTCATCTCCTGTTCTGTGTCCGCAGTCTCTGGTCATCTCCTGTACTGTGTCCGCAGTCTCTGGTCATCCCCTGTACTATGTCTGCAGTCCATTGGTTCAGAATATTTTTTTTTCTTGTTTTTCGCCTCTAAAACCTAGGTGCGTCTTATGGTCAGGTGCGTCTTATGGAGCGAAAAATACGGTATCTGACAAATGAGGTTTAATGTTGATAAATGTAAAGTTATGCACCTGGGGGGCTAAGAATATGCATGATCATACATACTAGAGGGGGTACAACTGGGGGAATCAATGGTGGAGAAGGATCTGGGTGTTCTGCTAGATCATAAGCTTAATAATGGCATGCAATGTCAAGCTGCGGTTTCTAAAGTGAGCAAAATCCTCTCTTGTATTAACCTCCCTAGCGGTCTGATTATGTCAGCGGTCTGATTATGTCACAGATTTCAGTGAGTTATTCTTAGGAATAACTCACTGAAATCTGTTCGAACAAGAGTCTAGTAAACATCCCGGGTATGAAAATATTTAAAACACGAAATCATAAATTAGAATATAATAATAATCATAAAACATAATAATCATAAACTTAATTCAATAATGTAATCAAACCAAAAACACTGAAATTTGAATTAGAGCGCCAAGTTCGCACATCATTGAGCTTAGTTACAAAATCGTTTTCAGTGTCTGATGACGAATTTCCCCACAAATCATTATCACTCAATTCTGCAAGTAGTTCTAATTTACTATCGCTTTTCTCTAGCTGGTCTAAAACTGCTTTTGACCTACAGGGACGCTTTTTGGAAGCCATGGACGTTTCTCAGTTTCCAGGCAGAAAGAACAGTAAAAATGCAGTCAGGGCACAGGACAAAGCACTAGGGACAAAATGTATGTGAAATGGTTTGATACAGTAATGTAATACTATCAGATTTTAGTGTATTGAGTGAATGTCACATTTTAAAATTTTTTAATTTCCCACCGGTTCCGTCCCCCGTATGTCCCGTACATCCCGACGCTCTCAGGGAACGAAACCCAGAAGACGGATGCCGGCATCGGCCGGAGGACATTTCCGGGGACACTGCAGGGGGGACATCGCGGGAGCCTAGGACAAGGTAGGTGCTGGAGGGATCCCAGAGCAATGCTGCAGGGTAATCCCGAGTGCAGCTTGGGGTTACCGCTTCTGGTACTGAAAGGTAACATCGAGCTACACTCAGGAATACCGCCAGGGGGGGTTAAAAAAGGCTTGGATTCTATCTTGGATACACAGAATATAACTGGTTACTAATATTATAGGTAAGTTGATCCAGGGAATATTCGATTGCCTCTTGGGGTATCAGGAAGGCATTTTTTCCCCCTGCAGGAGCAAATTGGATCATTCTTTCCTGGGTTTGTTTGCCTTCCTCTGGATCAACTGTGGGTGTAGGATTATAACTTTTTTTTTTTATGGTTGAACTGGATGAACTTTTGTCTTTTTTCAGCCAGACTAACTATGTAATGATGTAGCTATGTTTTGGTCCATCTGACGCCGCCAGGTTGCACCTCAGACTGTCCAAGAGCTCAGTAATGCTCTGGTCCAGATCTGAGAGGAAATACCCTAGAACACCATCCGTCATCTCAGGAGCATGCCCCAACATTGTCAGGCATGCATACAAGCATGTGGGGGCCATACAAACTACTGATTACCATTTTGAGTTGCTGCAATGACATTTCAGCAAAATGGACTAGCCTGCTGCATAATTTTTTCACTTTGATTTTCGGGGTGTCTTTGAATTCAGTCCTCTGTAGGTTGATAATTTTAACTTCCATCAAACAATGGGGCGTCCTTATGTTCCCAACACATTACCCAGTCCATATAAGTGTAATTATCCAGCATAATATTTTTCCCCATTGAGATCTGATGTGTTTTCAAAGTGTATCTTTAATTTATTTGAGCAGGGTATATATTAAAAAAAAAAAAATTATATATATATATATATATATATATATATATATACTGTATATATATATTGGGACGCCTGCCTCTACACGCACATGAACTTTAATGGCATCCCAGCCTTACTCCGTAGGGTTCAATATTGAGTTGGCCCACCATTTGCAGCTATAACAGCTTTAACTCTTCTGGGAAGGCTGTCCACAAGGTTTAGGAGTGTGTCTATGGGAATGTTTGACCATTCTTCCAGAAGTGCATTTGTGAGTTCAGTCACTGATGTTGGACGAGAAGGCCTGGCTCGCAGTCTCCACTCTAAATAATCCCAAAGCTGTTCTATCGGGTTGAGGTCAGGACTCTGTGCAGGCCAGTCAAGTTCCTCCACCCCAGACTCGCTCATTCATGTCTTTATGGACCTTGCTTTGTGCACTGGTGCTAAGTCATGTTGGAACAGAAAGGAGCCATCCCAAAACTGTTCCTACAAAGTTGGGAGCATGAAATTGTTCAAAATGTCTTGGTATGCTGACGCCTTAAGTGATCCTTTCACTGGAACTAAGGGACCAAGCCCAGAAAAACAACCCTGCACTATAATCCCCCCTCCACCAAACTTTACACTTGGAACAATACAGTCAGGCAAATACTGTTCTCCTGGCAACCACCAAACCCAGACATGTCCATCGGATTGCCAGACAGAGAAGCATGATTCGTCATTCCAGAGAACATGTCTCCACTGCTCTAGAGTCCAGTGGCAGCGTGCTTTACACCATTGCATCCGACCCTCTGCATTGCACTTGCTGATGTAAGGCTTGGATGCAGCTGCTTGGCCATGGAAACCCATTCCATGAAGCTCTCTACACACTGCTGTTGTGCTAATCTGGAGGCCACATGAATTTTGGAGGTCTTTAGCTATTGACTCTGCAGACAGTGGGTGACTTCTGTGCACTGTGCGCTTCAGCATGTTCTCTGTCATTTTATGCGACCTACCACTTCATCGCTGAGTTGCTGTTGTTCCCAGTTGCTTCCACTTTGTTATAATACCACTAACAGTTGACCGTGGAATATTTAGTAGCAAAGAAATTTCACAGATGGACTTATTGCACAGGTGGCAACCTCACACAGCACCAAGCTTGAATGCACTGAGCTACTGAGAGTGATCCGTTCTTTTACAAATGTTTGTAGAAGCAGTCTGCATGCCTAGGTGCTTGATTTTATACACCTGTGGCTGTGGAGGTGATTGGAACACCTGAATCCAATGATTTGGAGGGCTGGCCTAATACTTTTGGCAATATAGTGAATATATATCCAACTCCCAAAAACAATGTGTTAAAATAAATACAAAAATTGCAATTCATACATGGTATTACAGTCCTTGCGGTGTACGTAGTGTGCAATGTGTGCAGAAACAAAGGTTTTCTCCTTTTAAACATTTGTATGGTAGACCTCCTGTGAACCTCTGGATATAGCCCCTGAAATATGAGTGCAGGAGGCCACACCAAATTTTTCTCAGTGAGTGACTGCAGCTAATCACCTGTAACCACTGATCAGTGTATTCTGACAATGTGGAGTACAGCTGTCAGAATACAATCTCCAAGCAAGGAAGATTCCTCCATCCATCTTGTTTGTGTGGAAGGATGAAAATTAACCTACAGCGCATGGTCAGCTTGAGAACAGACTTATAAAAACAAATAGAAAACATGGAAGCAAATCCACTGATATATAAACTAACAAACACACATTCACACTGCATACTGTATATACAGTATTGTGAGACTGGCAGGATTGTGGATTGTGTACACTTAGGTTTCTCACCTACACATTAGTCTAAGCTCACATGTGCACTGAATGATGCTCAAGGCTCCCTCTCAGAATCTCTCTGTTGTGAGAGCTTGGTGCTAGGGGAAAAGGCTGATGGCTGACATAACTTTAAAAGGTACAAGAACTACCTGTTTGTTTGGAGAACCCAGTAGTAGGGATAAGCCAAGCGAACAATACAGTTGGGAGGTAGGGAACACTTGTTGTTGATCAAAATTGCAATGGTGCAATGTTGTTTAACAGTAGACTAATTAGCTACTGCAAAATATCCATCACTAAACTGCCCATCAGATTCAACAACTGAATGCAGCCCGCCAGGCAAATGAGGTACAGAGGCATATTATAGGGCATATAATGAATATTTATGGGAGTTTGACCAATCCCCAGGCAGGAGGCCTGGTAGGGTGGCAAGATGGGCCCATAAATATTGAAGAGCCTGGCACGTTGGTGGTCTGTGGTCGTGTGGGAGATAGAGTGCTGAGGATCATGAGGCCTGGGAAGGGATCCTGGGGATGGGGGCTCTGCTTCCAGGCTGGAACTGATGAAGGAAGGTGAGGAAGCTGGAGAGAGAGATTTTTACTACTCTATAGTCTTATTCAAGAAATACCCTGTTTAGCATGGGAAGACTAGCACAGCAGAAACCCTGAACAGCAGTCTTATCAAAGGCAGCAGGATTCAAGGGACAGTGTGAGTACCTCTACACACCCAGGGCCTACAAGAGAGAAGGCTGCCAGCTGCAATATTCAGGATGCTTTCATAGGGACAGTGTCTCAGGTAACCTAAATACCTTGCTCTGGGACACTTTACAATGCAGCCAGCAGGACTGGTATTTTCTGCAAAGTATTGGAACTTTGTGAGCTTCACCCAGGGGACATAGAACTCCTAAAAGATGAACCTTTGCTATTGATCTATTAAAGACTGATATTATTCCAGAGGGAGTACAATCCAGGTTCTGCATTTTTGTGTACATAGAGAAGGAATATTGTCCTTTGATTTATCTACCAAATCAAGTTTGGCATCACACATTCCTTTATCCCCACCCAAGTTATTTTCCCCTCAATAAAAAAAAGAAAACAATCCCATGGACTGGTTACTGACTCTGTTGGAAAGTAAAGAAAAAGTGTGTTGCGTGGCTGTGTGGGAATAGGGGGACCCAAAAATCCAGTTGCCGTCTAGGTCCTTCCATTCCCTTGAACGGTTCTATGGTGTGTGCATCAGTGGGAAGGATGAGATTGCTATTGACATGAAACAATCCTCCTTGATGACCTACCACTTCCCAGAAAAGTAAAGACTTCTGCACCAATACTTGGTTTGCTGCCTTGCTGAATTATGTACACACTGGCCAGTTTTCTCCAGGCTTTGCACATTTGTTAAATAAAATACATGAATTAAGCTGAAAAACAATTACTTTGTGCAGCATGTTGGATACAAAGGCTTTAAAGGCAACTGTATTGAAATGCTCAATTCATATACAGTCATAGAGGATGATATATTAAAACTAGAGGAATTAACATGATCCCTTACCTGGAGTTGTTGGCAACAGCAATCCCTCATCTTCCATTTTATAGACATTTTTTTGTGCGTGGGCTCTAGGAGAATCTTCCTTCATGGATGACACCCATGCATGCCATTCCTCTGCAGTGTGTGTATTGTGTCACGGGAAAAAAATCACCCAGTTTGGCTTTCTACTTCTTTAGCTAACTGCAGTGGACTTGCATGGTGATTTTCTTCAACCCTTCTCATCAGAAGACCCTCCTGTTGAAGTGTTAATGTCCGTGGACAGCCTGGACATCTCTGTGAGATGGGTGCAGTGCCATCTTTGTTAAATTCTTGCATCACTTTTGCTACAGTATTCTGACTGATAAGTAAAGCTTTGCTGATCTTCTTGTTGTCTTCACCTTTCTTGTGTAAAGAAATTATTTTCTTTCTCAGGCCTTGTGACATTTCTCTTCCATGTGGTGCTATTGCTAACAGCATGAAATGAGAAGGGGTTTCTTTGTTAAGTAATGCCCTTTTATAATCAACTGTCTGCTGGGCACCTGTTTAATGAATAATTAGACTCACCTGTAGTTGAATTCTTGTTAATTAGGATTTTGTTGCCTAAAATTTAGCTTTGCTCCTAATACTTTCAATGGGGTTATTCATTTTTTGCAACATGGTCTTGAATTAATTTGTCAGGAAAAATATGTTTTTTTATGTTTGTAAATTAACAAATTTTGTTTGCAATCAATGGCCCACATTTGTGGGAGTATTTTGTAGCATAGTGTCCCATAGAAAATGTTGATTCGGAAAGGAAAGTAAAGGTTTTCTGACAAATCTGTTGGGGTGTACTCACTTATGCTGAGAACTGTATTTTTCAAAAATTATCAATCCTGATGTACTGCATGACATGTATGATATATGAAACTATGACAGCATATAAAAACAAATTCAATTGTCTAAACATTTTTTTCTTTTTTTACTAATTTTTTACATATTGTCATCAGAGTAGTCCAGTGTCACCATAATGACTCTGTACTACTCTGGGAGGTGATCAAGGTTTTTTTTTTTTCTTTATGCTACGTGATTGCTGTCACAATACATTATAATGCTTTAAGGAGTTTATACTAATGAAAAGAAACCTACCAAATATTTTAAAGATAACTTCAATTTCCGAATTGTCCTCCTGAAATTAGCTGCAATGTATGGACCTGGTTCTTTCTGGTTCTTTCCCTGCTTCCAGAGTTTAATGGCACTGCCATTCAGTAGCTTCTTAAAAATATTTAGAAACTGTAAAGTCTTCATCAATGACATCCATTGCTGCTCTAAACCAAGGCTGGACAATTCCCAGGTCTCCATGGTGACAGATAAAAATAATCTGGCAATTAGGTCATTGAGAGCTGTTGGTGGGGAGGTAGGCACTGAAATGCTGGGACTACTGCTTGGTAAATCTGACACTGCCTGAGAATACAGCAGCTACTATGACAGCTGGCAATGGGCTAGACAAGCATGTAACAAAATTAGCTCAGTCTCTCTCGTGCAGCACCGGCTGTCAATACAGTCACATTAACTACTGCATTCTAATGCAGTACTGCCTTTATCTAATGATAATCCTGGTATTCTTGTCCTGCCTTCCCAGCAGCAATAGCTATATCAGTATGTTGGGGAAACCCTATTATGATACAAACCATGGTACTTACAAAGGTCAACTTTCATTTTTTAACTTATCCCAAAAAACTGTTGCTGTAACTGCTAAAAAAGTGTTAGCTGGAGTTCGGCTTTAATGCAGAAACAATTGAGTACTGTCCGTGATACTTTTTTTATTTGCACTAACATACAATTTTGAGGACAAGCTTTCGGGGTATGTCCCCTTCTTCAAGGTCTAAGCAGTACCATACCCCGAAAGCTTGTCCTCAAAATTGTATGTTAGTGCAAATAAAAAAAGTATCACGGACAGTACTCAATTGTTTCTGTCGCAAATGCACTAATACGGCTACAATCACCTCAAGGCTTTAATGCAGAAAGTTAATGAAAAAAAAAACGTTTTTTTTTAAACATCACCAGGATGCTACTTACCAGCAATGAAGTTTGTGCTGTATTCTGGTGGCTGCAGTTTACAGTAGAAATCTAAAATCTTCCGCCCCCCGGATACTTGCACAGCAGTGATCTTCAGGTGCTGTGTGCGTTAATATCAGTAGCTGTTTATGCATGTGTTTTCTATATTTTGAGATCATGGCATATATTAATTATTTTATTGTTTTATCTACACCCTATCAAATTTTTTGAGGGCACATTTATTCGAGATAAGCACTTTTTTTTTTTTTTTTTGAAATTCAAATACATCCGAATCTCCGAAAATGAAATTTCATTTGAAAAACTAATTGAAACAAAACAAAGCGTGCATGTCTACTATTTAACCTTCCAGAATCTACATTCACTTCATTGCCTCTTCTTTGGTGTCCTCCCTGGGGTCCCTCTTCTGGATGTGAACAATTAAAATTGGTGGAGGCAATATTTGCAAAGGCCAGGTAATCTCTCATAGGCTTCAAAGGCAGGAGAAGTGACTTCTTCTCCCACAATCCAAAAGAACTAGTGATTGGTTAAACTGCACGTAAACTCAAAATCTATGTTTCAATATGTTTGATAATATGTCTCACTGTATGCAGGGCAATTTGTTGTTTTGTTTTTATTTTAAATCTGTTGTAAAGTTTCTTACCTGTAAATCTTACCAGTAAAAGCATTTCTTGTTGCAGGTTTGTAGAAAGCTTTTAGTTTCTCAATGTAGCTCCCTTAGGATGGTAATGTACACTACAATCTGATTGTAAAATTGCCTTT